GCTTTTTTATATGGAAATTGAAAAAAAAGATATTAGGTGCTAAGAAAATCTTTATCATACTTTGAAAATGACTACATATGCTCTTTCAAGAATTTGCATTAATGTGTTCTTTGCATCTGATTTTCACCTATCAGACTTTTTTTTTAAACCATCACTTGGGATCTGTTCTTATTAATTGAACTCAGTTGAAATGAGCTGAAATGAAATGAAATGTATATTTTATAAGAGAAGGAAATTAGGAGCTAAATTGAGCTAAACTGAACTGAATTTCAACATAAGAGAACATACCCTTAATAGATTTTTCACCTATCAGAAGTTTATTTATCTTATTTATATACATTTTTATTAATTAGATCTTCTTAGAATTTATTTTAATTGTAATTTGAAGTTAACTAATATAAAGTGGATAATACAAACCATTATTATAAGAAAGAATTAAGTAATATTAATCATGATGCACAATTTTGTTAGCATGTTTCAAACTTCTTAGTGGCTAGGAAAGCCTAGAACTAGAATGAATAATCGAAAGAGACCTAGGTAATAGACTCTACCATAGATAATATTTTTAGAAAGTTGAAAATAGGTTGAATCTGATCTCTAATGTTACAACCATGTCATATAGATGACACTTACGGTATGTTCTATCAATTCATTATTACGGCGTATTATGAATCAAGTCTCAATGTTATGTCCCGTTTACTTCACCTTATTTTTATTGAACTGAATTTATTTTGCTAAACTTAAATTATTTTTAATGAACTGAAATTAATTCTACTGAACTAAAATTATTTTTACTGAAATGAAATTATTTTTACAGATTCTCTGTTATATTTTTTCTTTAAAATTACTAATGATTTATAATGAACCGAAATTACTATTTTTTAATGTGAAGTGAACATGGCCTTAATCTGATATCTATCTAAAATATTATATATTGTATTCGCTTTCTCATTCAAAATTTTGCAATTATATGTAGGTTACTTGCTTTTTATGTAGTTAGGAATTACTATATTAGTTTCAAAAAATATTGCAATAGTATGACTAAATATATGAGAGATTTTTTGGCAAAATATTTTAATTTTCATAAAACAAAGAAAATATTGTTCAATTGCAGTATTTTGACTAAAAATTTGATATTAGAATACTATCTAATCTCTTTAATTTTATTTATGTTTCTCATGTATGTTAAGAGAGCTCCCACTAAGGGTCTGTTCACATTTACTAAATTGAGCTGAACTGATTGGAGATGAACTGAACTGAATAAAGCCAAAATAAATATTTTTTGAGAGAAGGAAATTAGGAGCTTATCTGAACTAAACTGAAATTAAGCTGAACTAAACAAACCCTTAGTATCTAAATGAAAGACAAACAATAGCTCCAAATTAATTTGTATGAACTCTTTCTCCCAACATCCCAAGTATTACAACTTTGTTAGACCTTAATTTTTAATATATTGCTGGCTCATCTTTTCTTAAAAAAAAAAGAAAAAAAAAAAAGAAAAAAAAAGGGGTTATTCCATAGATTATTACCCATAACACGTTAAAAGTAAACCTTTAAACGTTCTCAAATTTCAATTCTCAAACCTTTATGTCATTTCAATAACAACAAAATAAAAATCTAATCTTTTCCTAAACAAAAGCTACAAAAACGTCCTTTATTTTTCCTGACCATTCCCCTTACTTTGTTAAGTTATTTCCCACCTTATTATGATCATCTCCCAAACTAAACACCTAACAAAATGACCCGTTGTTTTAGCTTCACCTATCTAAGAGACCGGTGCTACCGCTACACCTTCAACAACTCGGGCCTACGGCCCACCACCACGGACCTCGGCGACGGCACCGTAATCCGTGGTTGGGCCCCCAAAGCCCACCAAGAGTCCAAGCCCAACTTACTCCTCATCCATGGATTCGGAGCCAATGCAATGTGGCAGTGGGGTGACTTAGTAGGCCACATGACCCCCCACTTCAACGTCTACGTACCTGACCTCCTCTTCTTCGGAGAGTCATACACGAGCCGGCCCGAACGAGCCGACTCGTTTCAAGCTCAATGCTTGATGAGGCTCATGGAGGCTCATTCTGTGAAGGGGAGGTTGAGCTTGGTTGGTTTAAGCTACGGCGGGTTCGTGGCATATAGCATGGCTGCTCAGTTTAAAGAGGTTGTTGAAAGAGTTGTCATATGTTGTGCTGCTGTTTGTATGGAAGAAAAAGATTTGGTTGAAGGGAAGTTTAAGGTTAAGGATTTGGAAGATGCTGCTGATATTTTGTTGCCTCAGACTCCTGAGAAGTTGAAGGAGCTTATGAGTTTTACTATGATTAAGCCTCCTAAGATTGTTCCTAATTGCTTTCTCAATGATTTTATTCATGTAAGTTTTATCTGGACCAACCCTTTTTTTATTTTATTTTTTATATGATCAATATTGCTTTGTTTTTTCTTGTATGATCTAGTGTTTGATGATTTGGTTTGGAATAAGATTTAAGAGTAGATTAAGTTCTTGGTTATATTCCTTAATGAATATGCCAAAACACTTAATGTGGTTGATCTTTCTACATTTGTGCACTGGGGTGTACCTAAAGTTTTGATCAGTAGAAGCGCAATTATGGGTAATTTTACCGGGTGTATAGTACTAAATTTAAATTAATAATTACATGTTTTTTTTTGGGTTCAACAATGTTTTAGTGATTTAGACTTCGTGATTGACTGATTGTGGTTGATTCACACTGTAAGCACATACATGAAACTAGGTTGAAGGTTTGGTAAATGGTAGACACATGATATGACATAGTAGATCTAACAATAGTGAAATGTAAATTTTGAGGTCAAGATTTCAATTTGGACTAAAAATGTTGTTGAAATTACATTCACATGATTTACAAATTTAGCTGATCCACTCTTCTATAATTAGAACCTGTTAGGTTTACATTGAAACTAATCTTGTAGAAATTTTTAATATTTGGCAATTATGTAATCCTATATACGAAAACTAATGGTTAGTGTTCCACATTGGAGAAGACAATAGATAAACGTTTGCTAAATAGTAAATATACAGAGGTCGTAGTTAGTTTCTAATGTTGTTAGCTTGAGTTTGACTAATTACCTTGGAGATATATTCTGGAAATTTCTGGTTATTTTGAACTTTACCTAAAGTGACAAGGGCATTTTCGTGGCAGGCCATGTGTACAGAACATTGTCAAGAGAAAAGGGAATTAATCCGGGCTATTCCAAAAGACCAAAGATCTCCGAAATTCCTAAAATCACTCAGGTTTATTAAACTACTTTTGTATTCTTTATGTCCAGATTTAGTTGTCACATTATTATTTCACGTTACACTACCTGTGTGACAGCTGATTTTCAATAGAGTTATTTTTTCTTTTCTTGTTATTGGATTAGTTCGTGTGGATAATTTGACATGAATATGAAAATATGTTAAACGGTTGAATATTCTTGGGGTGCAGCCTACATTGATAATCTGGGGAGATCAGGATCAAGTATTTCCAGTGGAATTTGCTTACAGGTTGAAAAGGTATGTATAAATCAAAACCAAATTGTTTAGCTTAATCATTTGCTATTTTGCTCTGTTTTTTAACAGAGGAATAGTATATGATCTTCTTAGAATCTTGGTTAAGTATGGTTTCTCAATATGCAGCCATCTGGGAGACAATGCTCAGCTAGTGGTTCTAAAGAAAGCCGGGCACGGTTTCAACGTCGAGAGGCCTAAGGAGTTCTACAAGCACTTGAAGGCTTTCTTGATCGGTTCCCAAACATCTCAACATAATCACTCCAATAGCAATGGCAAATAAATGAACACAAAATTCAAGTGGTAGATCGGCTTTCGCCTACCGGAGCTTTTATTGATCAGTTGTTCACGAGTATTTGACTGATAATTTACATTCTTAATTGTGATGCATTTAACACAAGCACTAGGCCACTGCCTAGCTAATTAGCATCACCAATTCATTGTTGTTATAGGCCATAGAACTGGAATCTAGGATGTTCTGGGGCAAGCTATGCATCATCTATCTCTTGTAATAACTTTGTACATACTTCTATAATTATGCCTACATATATAAAAGTATCTAACTTAAGTTGCTATTGCTAAGAATTTTTTTTGTGTCAAAGGCAAAGCAAGTAGCTTCCAATGATATTGCAAGCATAGACCATATTCAAATTTTCTAAAAGTTATTGGTTGTATATTAAACCTGGGTGCTTAAAGACTTGTTTGGTTCAACTAATTTTGTCTGAAATTTAATATGAACTTATTTTATTTGGAATTCTTTTAATTAAAATTATCTAATATAGGTATATTTTCTTCTTGAAGTAAAAAAAAAAAAAAAAAAAAAAAAACTCTTAATAAGTCTTTTAATCAAAATTAGAAATTATCATAAATTTTCTAACTTGAAATTATCTTTTAATCAAAAGTCAACACATTTCTTTTAATCGTCAAGGGTTACTCGATCAATATTATAGTGATTATTTGGTCATTTGAAAAAAAAAAAAATAAATGTAAATGTGTCCACCTTCATTTACTAGTGCATAGAAAAGGCGCGAAACTGAGAAAATGTACACTAAAATTTGCTCGGAAAATTTAGAAAAAATAATCCCAACTTTCAACAATTATCATAGAATAATCCCAACTTTGGATTATACTGAAATAATCCGAATTTTGGGGGTAGTTCTTTTTCTTCAATCCCAAATACTGGTTACCGGTTCAATGGGTTTTTTCTTTTTTTTTTTTAATAAAATGACACGTGTCGTACAGCAATTGGATAAAAAAAATAAAAAAAAAAACAAAAAAAAATTACCCAGCCTGCGAAAACCCCAACCACCCTGAGAACAACTCTGGCAACCCGCCACCACCATAGCCCAGCCACCCAGTTGCCGAACCTTCGTCCCTCCCCCACCACTAGACTCGCTGCTCCGGCGCTTCCCCTTAGCCACAGTCCCCTCCTCGAATCCCCACGCAACCACCTATAAAAACCCTTGAAAACTTCCATCCAATTCGCTTTGAGGGTGTTTCGAATGGTTGGAGGGGGTTTTCGACGGTGAGGAGGTGGTTGTTGGGGGCTTTCGGGAGTGGGGGAGGGGTTTTGAGGGTGTTTCGAATGGATGGAGGGGGTTTAAAGAGATTTCCGGTTATGGAGGGCCGAAAACCAAATCGGGAAAGGAGGGGATTGGGGGTGGAGGTGGGTCACGACACCGGCACCTGGGGTTTGGGGTGAAAGAGGCGCACGGTTGGGGCAGGGGAAGGGAGAGGTTGATGCGGTCGACGGTGGCAGGTGGTGGTGGTGGTTACGAGGGTCAGGAAGGGGGGATAAGGGTTTGCTGGTTTTTTAATTTTTTTTTTCTTTTTTTGGACCAATTGCATTTTGACACGTGGCATATAACCTGTAATATCAGGTCATTGACTTTGGTTGACCGGTTTAGGATTGAAGAAAAAGAACTACCCTTAAAGTTCGGAAAGTTTGGATTATTCAAGTTGGGATTATTTTATAAAAATTGATGAAAGTTGGGATTATTTTTTTAAATTTTTTCCAATTCGCTCTCATCTTCCTTTCCCCTAATCCCCAATTTGGCAATTCCCCCCAAACCCTAGCCTAAGATTTTCCAATTAAACTATCGGGTGAGCCATCGATTGATCTGGTATTGATTTCTCTCCTTTGCTGCATTACATCTGGCTAAATTTATTCAATAATTATGTTTAATTACTCTATTAATCTCTTAGTGTGTTGAAATTGGACAGTTATAATGTATTTAATTTCAAGTAAAATTTCTTCAAAATGCAATCACATTCATAGATTATAAATCAAATTTTTTAGGGTATGATTCTCGTAATTTAAGGTTATCCCTTTTTTGTTTCAGCTAGTTTGTTTCAGGAATGAGTACTACGGTTGAAGATCTTTCACAATTTGATTTGTCAGATGAGGTTTTTTTATTTTCTTCTTTTATAATTTATTAAAGCTACCCCTTTAATACCATTTGCCCTAAATTGATGAATCAAAAATTCAATTTCACTGTAAATTCGATTGTAATTATGTATGTCCTGTATTTTTTGGGGGTTTTGTAGGAAAAGGATAGGCTTGTTGCTGAGGTAATTCGTTACATTTTGTTTAAAACTCACCAAAGCTCGGGTTGCCCGGTTAAAAGGGAGGAACTTACCCAAATTGTTACTAAGAATTATCGGCAGCGAGCCCTTCCTGCTGCTGTTATTGATAAGGCCAAAGAGAAGCTTGCTAGCATATTTGGTTATGATTTGAAGGAGCTTCAACGTACTCGTCCTCCTGCCAAAAATCAAACTCGCTCTTCGCAACTTAGTGAGTGTCGAATTACGTTTGTTTGATGTTTTATTTGTTTAGTGTTAGTATGTTTAGTGGTTTTTTCTATTGCATATCAGAATGGATTATATTTGACATGTTAGCTAGAGATTTGATCAATTGTAGTAGTGTATAGTTAAATATAAGAGTAACTTGGTGGGTTATAGTTTTCGAATTATGTGTTTGGTTTCAGAGAATGCTCTATTGATCTGTTGTAAATAGTAAATTCCCCTTGTGTATCATTTTGTGATGAAGGTGAGAGTGACACCTTCATATTTAACAACAGAATCATCCATGTTTTGAAAAGTGGAAATTTTTTTGTTTCTATGTTGTGAATATCTCTTTTGTAAGGGTTGTAGTAATGTTTGTGTTAGAGAAGTTTCAAAGTTGGTCCCTAAGGCGGCATAAATTACATCCGTTATTAAGATCATTTACCTTAACCTTTGAGGTCTCACTGTGAAACAATCTTGTGCAACACTTGCCTTAAGGTTTACATTAGCAGTGTCGTCCTCAATCATTCTTTTTACAGTTTTTTTTTCCATATTTTGTGTGCTTTTGTTCCCCCTTTTCTGGGTGCTTTTACTGAGTATCTACCTCATTTGTTGAAGGTGCTGCTGATATGAGATCATATATTGTCATAAGTCAACTGCCATCTAATGTATATCAGAAGCATGTTGAGGATATTTCTACAGCACACCTGACAGGATTTACGTTTGTAATTATCAGTGTCGTACACCTTGCTGGAGGGAAAATTTCAGAAGGTTCGCCGTGTTTTTACTGCTTGCAAGCTTATGTACTATTATGTTCTGTTTATGATGCAATAGTGGGGCATTACTTACCTTTACACAAACTTCAGAACTTGCCACTGTTTAGAGTCCTTAGAGATTTATCCCTCCCCAAGTTATTCATTTTTTCCTATACTGGCTTTTGATTTCATAAACTTTAAATTTTCAGAGAATCTGTGGCATCACATGAGACGAATGGGACTGCAAGAAGCTGATGAAAATCATCCAGCCCTTGGAAATGTCAAGGTCTCACTGGAGGCACTTGTACAACAGAGGTTGGTATTTGCTCGATTCTGGAAGAAGAAAAATGTGTAACTTTGTTTCAGCTGGGTGGAATGCCTTATAGTCCTTATTTATTGGTTTATTATAAATCTTCTTAAGTTCTTATTCTTATTTCCAGGTATCTTCAAAAGGATAAAGTTAGCGGTCCTGAAGGAACCACTGTTATGTATGAGCTTGCTGAGAGAGCATTAGATGGTGAAGTTAGCCAGAAAATTAAAGAGTACATATCACAGGTACACCCTAGTCGACTGGTGGCATTAAGTTTTCCTTAATGTACTATAAATGTCTTGCTTTACCTTTTTTCGGATCCTTACTGGCCATTCCCCAATGAAAATTTATGTGATCCTCTTCTTAGCTGTCTGATGTTGTCTAATACCGTAATTCTTACATCTTGACTGTAGTATAAGACGTAAATGTGCATTTTTTTAACAGTTGTCTTATTGCCATTATTAATACCTTTTGATTGTTCATTGTTCAACATCCAACATCTTGTACCTGAATTCATGTTAGATGTCTCTTGGCATGTTGTGCTCTCCAAACTGCCTGACAAATATTGTTCTGTTTGATATTAGATTGTAAATAGGGATCTTGGGACCGTTGAAGTTGATGATTAGTGAACATACAAATTGTGTTTAGAGGTATGTCTGATATTACCTTCTATTTTCGATTTTATATGTTTACCTTTGCAGCTCCTGTTTACACTATCTTTTTCTTTACGCAGTCATTTCCCATTACATTTTCTCAGAATTAGTTTATTGGAGACTGATCTGCACTTTTGTGCACACAGAATTGGACAGGCTCAGGCAGAAATGTTGCTAGAATATCTGGATAATGTTATTTCAATGGTCAGGAGGAGGAAAATCAGATATTTTTGTGATGAAGACTCCTGTATTTATAGAATTACTGGGACTTTTGTCTTGTGAATTGATTCAAGTATTGCATTTTAGACGATATACTAAGCAATCTTCTCCTTAACCATGTAACCTTTTCATGTCCACGTTTGTCTATGCATGTTTCAGCCCGTAGATTTAATGAATGAGGGTTGTTAAGCTCATTTTCTCACTCCAATCTTACCTTTTACGTGTGCATATTTTGCATACTTCCAGAATGGTGGATCATTCATGTCCACGTTTGTCTATGCATGTTTCAGCCCGTAGATTTAATGAATGAGGGTTGTTAAGCTCATTTTCTCACTCCAATCTTACCTTTTACGTGTGCATATTTTGCATACTTCCAGAATGGTGGATCATTCATACCAAGTAGTTGGGAAATTTGAGATAAGCAAGCTGCAATTATTCTTTACCTGTAATAAAATCTACTCTTTGCAAGCTGTCTGAAGTAGTTTGAAATAAGTAGTTTGCTTTGTGCCAGCTCCACTCCTAACAGTTGAAGTAGGTCAGCATGATTGGGGTGGTTGCAAACTTGCAAGTAAGTAGGCGGTGTTTCAAAAAAAGTGCAAGGCTGAAGATGGAACAGCAATTCTTTGCACTTATAAGATCCCACATAGATAACTTGCATTTAATGGAATGCAGCTGCAAGGTTTAAAGTCTTAATAGCATCAAAGTTGAAGGATGAACATAGCATGTGCGAAAGGCCTTACAGAGAGTGCATGTTAAAAGATTATCATCAAAATTAGTTGCTAATTAGCAGCAACTACTTGTGATAGTAGCAACTCAAAATCATCGGGATCAAAGTTGGAGGATGAACATAGCATGTGCGAAAGGCCTAACAGAGAGTGCATGTTAGAAGATTATCATCAAAATTAGCAGCAACTACTTATGATAGTAGCAACTCAAAATCGTCAGGTCATATAGAGAAAATTGGAGATACAACATAATACTCGTACAATACAGGAATTGACACTGTATCTGTGTTGAACTATTCACATATGGGATATGCCACTTCTTATCCTCAATCTCCAATTATGTCAATACAATGGAACACGGATAAAGAAGACTTCCTATATATTTCATTGAGAAGGCCCCAAAACAAGAACTCCCATCACCCTCAAGGTTACTCTGCTTTGTGAACCACTAGGGAATCAAAATAAAAAATTTAAAAACGAAAAAGAAAACTGGGGTGGACTCAACATCTTAATGGCTAGCACTGATTGTCCCACCTCTGCTGGTGCTCGCATCACCAATGGCAACTGCAGAAGCGAGTGACTTTGATGCCCATGCCCTTGCCCTTGCATTTATAGCACCTTCTTGAAAATTGGTTCCCTTGCAAGGATCCCTTACGAAATTGAACAATTGCTTTGTTCTATTTAGGAAACGCATAGGGTGCTCCCATAATGGCCTTATCCTCACATGTTGCACATATCTTCTCCAAGTAGAACGAGCAATTTCAAGTAAACATGGGAATAGGAGATACATCAACCTCAGAAGCACAAATGTGGTGGCTAAAGCCAAATATGTTTCTTGCCGAAGAAGGTTCTCAGGAGATCTCGCCCATGAGAAAGGGCAATTTTCTGGCTCACTGTTTTCATTACTTGCACGATTAGATAAATCTTCAATTTTCTCCAGCGGTAACCGGTCCCTAGGATCACTTTTAATTCCTGCAAAAAGATGTACGGAGAGTACCATAATTATAAAGCATCCATTCATTTTAAGTAGTCCTCAGATGTCCATTATCTCCATAAATAAGTCCATTTCTCAGTTGTAAGAAATTGATCAAGAAATGATGCCAACCAATATACAGAGAACAATGATGAGCCGTTATGGGGTTTTCTCCCGTTTAACCTTCAATGTTTCCTTATTGCCCCTTTTCAGACAAAGGAAGTGATCTGACTTGAGGATGTAGTTAGTGCTACTTTTTTTTTGTTTGAAAATGTCCACATTAATCCTTTTTCTTTTAATTCTTTCACAATGTCAAAAATTATTATGATAGTGTATCTTGGACTTAAGACAGATAATTGTCATCACCCTGACATCAAATCGGGCGCAAAACATAAAACAAGGGAATTACAGAAAATTTGAGAAAGAGATTCCGCCACAAACAGATCCAAAGCTTGTTATTTTAAAAAATAAAAAGTACAATGCAACATGAGGGCCTGAGTCATGATAGATATTAGATATTTAGATGAAGTAATTTTAGCAGCATTGGACAAAGAACCTTACCAGTGACATCACTATAGAAAGCGACAAGTGAACCGAGACTACGAGAACCACGATAACGAACACGCATGGTGGAGTTCAGAAGAAAAAGGGTAGGAAAGCCATGAACTCCATATTTTGACAGTATGCTGCACAAAAGTCATTGTTAGATTTGTTACACAAGTTGCAAATAATCTTTTAATGTTATAAACATGAAGCCTTGATTTGAGTCCAAACCTAGGTCTGATGGATGATTCTTCAATCGCAAAATGAGGAATAGATGGATACAAGGAAGAGAGAGTTGAAAAGCTTGGTCTGAAGTTCCTAGAGAATGGGCACCAAGAAGCATAAAACAAAACAGCTACATAGTCTTGATTGAGACTGTACACCAAATGCAGTGCCTTCTGCAATGAAACTTCATCTCCCTGAAAAAACAAATGAAAGAGAGAACTATTAGATATGGTGAAGGTGGCCAATAAGCAAAAGATAAATAAAATAAAACTTCATACATGTAATGTAGATATATAAACTCTATATCCGGTTATCAAAAAAATATCATCAGTTAAGAGCAAAACTAGTTTATGCCCTTAAGCATAATGCATGCAAGGGTCATGCTACAGCACATGACCCTTCTCATATCCAATCACAAGCAACAGCCTGCTTAAAAAATGGTATGGAGAGGTATTAATGGCAGTTGAAGAGCCTTCAGCAGATTATATCAGCAACTGATTTAGCAACTTAATTTCCAAATTAAAATTAACCCTATTAGTAATTTAAATGAGATAAACATCTGTAATGTCACAATCACCCAGCCCACCCTTGAAAATACTACACATTAAGGCCTCCCAAGCCAGGCGCAACAGAGAATTTACAGAATGATAAGCAAGGAAAAAAAGACATGATGTACAATGATAAAGAAACAAATTAACTCAAACACAAGAGAGAATGCTACAAGTATGTTGAAATACGCACTGAAGACATTTCAACAACCTTTTAAGGAAACACGTAGTAAACATAGCAAAAGATACCAAAAATATTATAGCAAAGGAGATATTTTTGTGCAAGCAATCACAAGACCAAAGTACAGCTGTAAACAACAGGATCTCACTCATGACCTACATAAATAGACCTCCATCACCAGACAATCAGGCAAGAAAGAAACCAGGGTAGAGGTTAGGTGGTATTCCATTCTGTATTAAGGAAATTAAAGTCACACCCAGTATCCTGGATACTTTATTTAGAAACATGAATTTTAAGTTCTCCCAGACATGCACTAAACAAAATTGATAGCAGAAGTGCAGAGCAGAAATTAATGGAGCCTTCTTTAATTTAGAGCTATGACAGAAATCCAAATTTCCCACTCAAATCAAAGTAGGGTAATTAAACTGTAAAAAAGACCACAAATGGAAGAAGAGTAATTACACCATCATAGTGGTGTAGCAAACAACAATGCTACACCACTAGTCTGCTAAAAGAAACAGCCAACGCACCTCTGTGGAAACTTCCCTAAATCAATTGGTCAATAATTTTTTTCTATATATTCTTATCAAAAGAAAACACACTGTTTCTTAAAAATTGCATAAGCATCTATCAGATCAAGATAAGATGACATATGTGTTCAGTGACTTCAGTCCTTTATACTCTATGTATACAACTTCTTTTTCAGCATCTTCCTTGTTCCATAATCACCCTTACACCCTAAACTAAAAAGACAGAGTAGGGAAAAAAGGGCAAAAAAACCCTTGTCCCCCCACCCCCCCCTCTCTTTTCTTAAACCTTCTCCAAGTGTATACAGCCATTGAACACCTCAAAATGTAAAAACTCTAGCTCCTCCAAATCCTTGATATGTTAGTCTCACTGTCCTCACTTATTCCACTATTTAGGGATTAAAAACATCAGCATACATAACCTTATCATGCTTTAGACAGGAAATAGGCCTTATCTCCCAACTTTTCAAGCAAAGGACATACAACTATACAAGTCTAACTACACTAACAAATCTTCTCTAGTCATCTGACAAGAAGTTTGGAGCATTGTGAACAACCTTCAAATTGAAAACTTATCTACCTATTGGGACAAAATACTTAACAACAACAAACCGGCAAACTGCTAAAACTTCAAATATACTCATACACTCGTGCTTCGTATATAATTTATGCATACATCTATCAATTAGCAGCACATTTTTTGTTATCCAACAAGCTAGCGTTACAAAATTTCGATTAGCTCTGCTTCAAAGTTTAAGAACTATAACTCATTAATTTACTTTGGATCCGGATCATTCAAGTAGTTAACATGAAACAGGAACAAACATATGACCTTCATCACTTACCGACAAAACCCATATCATTAGTCAACCTTAAATTTTGCTAAAAACAGTGTCCAAAACCAAACGGCAAGAAAATAATCATACACAATCATCAATTTCAAAATTTGCAAGAAAAAAAATCCCCAAATTAAAAAGAACAATACTTTTATTATACCAATACAAATAAACAAGATTAAGGTTAAAATTGATAAAAGACGAAAATTAAAATAATAATAATAATAATAATAGTTATAAATAAATAAAATACCTCAATAACAGCAATATTGTAGGAATGATGAAGATCGCAAATGGAATCAGGAAACCCTAAGATCGCATCAGTAATCGAGGCGGCAGGACAATAACCCAGCTCAGAAACCCTAGCCGAGTCGCCATAAATCACCCCGCCGAAAACCAAAACAACTAAAAAAACACCCCAAAACCTCTTCATCCTTTAATTGATCATTCAGCCCTTATTTAATCCCTAATTTTAATTTCCCCAAAAAAAGAACCCTAATTTAGGAACCTATATGTCACAAAATTAATCAATACATGAAACCCAGAAATTAAAACCCAAAAAAAATAAGGGAAGAATGAAAGATGAGAGAATTAGGGTTCGAAAACCCAGAAAAAAAAGGGGGGGGGATTTATTAAAAGAAAACAAAAAAGAATAAAAAAAAAAGAGGGGGAGATTGAAAGGAAAAATTAATGGAGGAAATGAAATGTTTGGGAAAAAGAAGAATAAGGGAAAATGATTCCAAAAAATCCTTTTAGGAAACGAAAGATTTGGGGTTCTGAGAATAAAATTTTCGGGGATTTTTGGGAAAATTTGGGTTGTTTGGTTCACAATGGTTCAAAACTCTGTCATCTTTTTAATTTTCTCTCTCTTCAAGATGTTGGAGTTGTATGACCTACTGATATACTGACGAATGCGATAATGCTTTTTAGTAATTATCTAAAGTCTACCTAGCTGACTTTTACGGCTGTTTATAGTGACACTATTAATTATACAATTTACAAGTGCAATTTCATAAATACTCCGTAAAATTTATAAATGCTTAAAAAAAATTTAAAGTGAGGATTCTAATTTTCATGTTGATTAATCTGTTGTTAAACAAGTGTAACATTGATACGAAGAACGAATCTTTAATTTTACTCGTAGCTTATATGTTTTGACTTTTGACACTATTTATACATTTGATTTGACATATTTGTTATTTATTTTCTTCGTTTTTAAATATTTGCTCCACTTTTTTTTCGGCCATTTTTAAATGCTTGCTCTATTTCCTTTTTTGGAAAGCTTTTACAATATTTAATTCATTTCTCACACTTAGTGTACCAACATAATACTCTCTATCCTCCTATTCTTCCACCACTTTTGTTTTTTACAATTTTTTATTTTCTCAACTACCCCACTACCTCCATATATTATTACTTTCTCCAAAATCTCCTAAAACTCCGAGATTTGGAGCAAGTATTTAAAAACGGAGGGAGTATATGTAAGCCAAAAAAAAAATTGTCAAACTTAGGGTCTATACTCTTCCGCTTATTTTCAGTTCAGTTCAGTTTCTAATTTTCTACTCATAAAATATTCAATTCAGTTTAGCTCCAATTTGTTCAATTCAACTCGGTTCACTAAATCCGAACAAGCCCTTAATATTCTAATCAAATACGCGTCTCCTAATAATTATACATTTGATTTGACATATTTGTCATTTATTATAAGAAAAAAAATGTCAAGCTTAGGGTTTATTCTATTCAGCTTATTTTCAATTCAGTTTAGTTTCTAATTCTCTACTCTCATAAAATATTCGGTTGAGTTTAGCTCCAATCTGTTCAATTCAACTCGGTTCACTAAATCCGAACAGGCCCTTAATATTCTAATCAAATACGCGTCTCCTAATAAATTATGGAGCAGTGTGTCTTAAAGATGGACGAATTCTAATCACTCATCCTATAATAATAATAATAATAATAATAATAATAATAATAATAATAATAATAATAATAAATAATAATAATAATAATAATAATAAATCTTGTTTTTCAGGTGCACATTTGCCAATACGATGTTTTCCCATCAATAATTTTAGTTAATTAAAACTAAAAAAAAAAAGTTTATAAGATTTTATATTTTTTAAACATACATTAGAACTAATCCAATAACTTTTTCATAATAACAATTGTTTTTTAATTCTTAAAAAATGAAAAATTGATTTTCATAGTGCAAAAAAATCAAAGTAAAACTGTTTTGTGGGTTAATTGCAGTCATGAATAGTAGAATAAAAAAATTTAAATATTAATACTTACTGTACATAATATTAGTGAATCATTTACATAATAAATAAATATAGTGATGCAATTAATTGTGAGGACCATAAAAATAAAAGTGTGTTGGTTAAACTAAAATGGTGATAATACTCAATTCATATTCATCTATGTTTCAATTAAGACAAATCACATGATTATTCTAAGAAATACAGAGTAGTCTAAGCTAAGAGCTAAAAGGTGTAACCCTTAGTATATTTTTGAAGGTGTACCACACAAGTGAACTATTTTTAGCTGTTCAGTTCAACGTAATTTTAGTTCAATTTAATTTAATTCAATCCAGTTTCTAATTTCCTTCTCTTATAATCAGTTCATTTCAGCTCTATTCAGGGCCTGTTCTCATTTACTGAACTGAGCTAAATTGAACTGAACTGAAATGAATATTTTATAAGAGAAGGAAATTAGGGCATATTCTCATACGTTTATTTTCAGTTCAGTTCAGTTCATCTCCTAATTTCCTTCTCTTATAAAATATTCAATTCAGTTCAGCTGAGTTCAGCCTATGAGAACAGGCCCTTAGGAGCTGAGCTGAACTGAACTGAGCTAAGCTGAATTGAAAATAAACGTATGAGAATAAGCCCTCAGTTTAGTCCAGTTCAATTCAGCCCCAATTAGTTCAATTCAGTTATTTTCAGTGAATCATAACAGGCCCTTTATTAGCAATTTATTTTACTCCCCTCCAGTCTCCAAGTTCTCTTCCAATTTGACTTTTTAGGTGGGAGATTCACCATCAAACACAAGAAAAAAATATTTAGAGACGGAAGAAATAATTATTTTGTATGGAAAAAAAAATCAAATGTACAATGAAAATGTATCAATGATCGAACTAAACGAAACACAAGCTTTGTTGTTAAAACTGCTTTCGAGGTATGTAGACTTTCAACATTCAAACCAGACAATAGAGAATGGAATGATCTTTGTTAATGTAATTATATCATACGAAATTACGAAGTATATGGGGTTGAAAGTCTTCATATTACATTCATTATAAGCAACTACCGTTTCTAAATTATTTATATTTCAATCTCTCTTCTGTGATACCAAAACCCTATATGCCATATCAATGGACAAATTAATAAATTCTTTATTCAACTTCTATATTGTTCTTCCACATTAAAATATAGTAAAAACAAAATTTCAAGATTATTTAGTTTTTCAATACAGTTAGGTCTGTTCTCATTGATTGAACTCAGCTGAACTAACTAAACTGAACTGAACTATGCAATTGTTTATTTATGAACTGAGCTGAACAGAACTAACGAAAATCAAATATTTATGATTTCTACTAGGAGTAATGTTTATGTGCAATTGTGCACGATAAAAACTAGGCACAAGTTCATAGAAAAAAGTTGTATACAATCACAGTATCACACACGTCATAGTTACATTTTTTAGATTGAAAGAAAAAGGCCTCCCATTTCAACTTCGTGAAACCAGAAATGGAAAAGAACAAACCAATTTTGAAAATTGTCATGCAATACACTCTTAGACTCTTAGGCTTAGGTTTGCTCTTATTTACTGAACTGTTTATAAAAAAAAAAGAAATTAGGAGCTGAACAAAACTGAGCTAAACAGGCCCTTAGTATTTTTTGACAACTATTAAATAAAGCAATACATTAAAATTATAACAAACAATTCAAATTTCAAAATAAAAAGTAAGAAGAATTTCATAATACAGGGAAGTATGACTGTGAAATGGTCAATTTTAAAATAAAAAGTGGGAAGAATTTCATGATACGAGAAAGTATGTATGTAAAATGGCAATTAAAATAAATATTGGGTTGTTGAGTAAATTCACTATTACTTTATGTTCTTTTCTTGTCAAAAAAAAAAAAAAAAAAAAAAAAAAGATTACCCAAATAATCAAGGATTAATGATTATTCAAATTATAGTTCTTCAAAACAAGGGTTGGTGGCACCAAGATATAATTAGGTGGCCCATCAATTTTATTAAAAAATAATTGAGCATAAGCAGTAAGTTGTGAACAAGTACTTATTATTTGTTCTCTGCTTTGTACTTTTAATTATTCGTCTTCACCTATACTCCTATAGCAACCCCACCCCCAAAAAATACAATAATAATAATAAAAAAATGAAACAAACAAAAACGAGGATGAATATGAATATGAATATATTATCATCTCTCTAGAAGTTGAAAATCCTATATAATGACGAATCATAATGCCTTATCCAAATAGACTTGATACCCAACTTATATGCATAAAATATGACTTGAAACTTGATTTGTCAAAAGATGTTATCCAGACTGTCTTAGTAAACTCAACTCCAATAAAGTCCATCCAACTAAACTCAGTCTATGACTCAATACAACCAGAACCTGCAACGACTCGCAAACAGCATAACCTGAACCAAAAAACCAATCTAATCTGCTTTTTTGCCATCACTACTCGAAAACTATGTAAAGCTTGATTCAATGCAGGGAAGAGGAGCAGAGAGACATTGTATCTAGAAATCATTAACTGTTGAAGTATAAAGTACAGAGCAGTTTCTCCAAAAAAAAAAAAAAAATCAGAGCAGAAGACAATGGATGCTTTGATCTGAGCAATGTTAATGAGACGACTATCCACATAAATTTAGCAGTTTTAAGAAAGCTATCACTCCAACTCAGTAGACATTCTAACTACGCAGTATTTGGAGAGGGACAAGTATGCCATCAAAAAGCAGAGAATATAGTCAAATGTCAAGAGTAGAACCACCATTCCACATTTCCACCTCAGAAGGCATTGTACTACACACATTATTCAGAGAAGTACGGCAAGCCATCATATAGCAAATCAAATAGTATTATGCTGAACAAAAGGTGTCATAGTTATGAATAAAGATCAAAATAGAGCATAAGATCTGTAAAACTCACCTATTAGCTTCATTCATTTTCTGAGAAACAACAGTAAAAGTCAACCATTAAGGAATTTATATTGCTACTACTAAGTACTAAGTGTTAAACAAGATAAGCCTAAAGCCCTTCAAAACATATGGGAGTTTCCATATCAGCAGATGCACAAATCTCTATAGATTGTTGCATTCTTAGAAACTCAACTAATGTAGCATAGCTAAGTATGATTAGCCTAAGAAACTAAACGCAGCACTATACACATTGTTGCATTCATTTTTTTTCCCAAAAGAAATCACACCTACCATTTCTAATCCGAGTAGAGCCGAGAACATGAATGAATGCATGATGGAACTAAATCAATTTACAACAAAATTACAAAATACAAACAGCATCAGCATCAGATGTGAACTTTACCATTTATTGAGCCTGACCACGAATGTAGGAACAACTCATCTACAGGAATTGCCCTGACATTCTAGCCTTGCAGGTTGGACATAGATAACCAATTGAACCAGCTTGCATTTCACAACCCAGTGAATCTTGATGAAATTCATTTCCACACCAAACACATAATGTGCTAACAACATGTCCAGTCATCATATTTGGCATGGCATTTGGTTTTTGATGCCAACCAAATCCTTGATTCATCTGTGCATTGTATGACATGACCTTTTGGTGATCCAATTGAGCATTTGACTCTTGCGTAGTCATGAAACTGAATTCCATTGGTTCCACATTGGTAGGTCTCAGCCCTTCGAAGCTTGAAATATTATCAAATTTCTCATTAGCAGCATACAGATCATTCCCACCCTAAAATTAGACAACACATCAATTGTCACTCCATCAGCATATATGATGACCAAGAGTCTGAATCAGATATCATAACTAAAAAATATACAAGTCAAAAGAGCATATTATAGAGGTATCTACATTGTTCCAAAACATGGTACCTGAGCACCAAAAACTGACCAACAAAAGAAATGTCTTGAGCAAAATTAAGCAATCTTTGCCCAAATATCTACATCAAAATAATTTATTAAAAAACGTTTCTAAGAAAGCTTAGGTGCCACGTGGCATCCTCCTCCTCTTAGGCAAAGGCTTCAAATGCATGTCTACCCTTCACTATAAAAATAAAGATTGTGTTGCAAGGAGTACGCGGGATCAATCGAATAATAAGAACTTAATTACCACTTAATATGACATCAATGTTTAATGATTTAAAATGAAAGATAAAAAAAATCTTACAAAGCTATTTCTTTAAACGACTTGGACAAGAAGATTTTATCTCAACCCAAATATCTATATCAAAATAATTTATTAAAAAACGTTTCTAAGAAAGCTTAGGTGCCACGTGGCATCCTCCTCCTCTTAGTCAAAGGCTTCAAATGCATGTCTACCCTTCACTATAAAAAATAAACATTGTGTTGCAAGGAGTACGCGGGATCAATCGAATAATAAGTAAGAACTTAATTACCACTTAATATGACATCAATGTTTAATGATTTAAAATGAAAGATAAAAAAAAATCATACAACGGTATTTCTTTAAACGACTTGGACAAGAAGATTTTATGTCAAACACCTTTATAGTAATAACAAGCAAATCATATAAACATAAACTTTATTCAGAATTACAATCTGGGCGTCGGTCGAGACGCACTGGTTTTTTTTTTATTAAACTAGGATCAAGTACAAGTTATTTCATTAACAACTAAAACTCCCCACCACCCACCCCCCACCCCCCCCCCCAAAAAAAAAAAAGAAAAAAAAAAAGAAACTCCCTTTGCCCAATTTAATACTTCGTAGAACCTATAACTATAATAAAGCAGAGGGCACTCAAAACAAAAGCTCCACGTGTCACTTTGTCATTAAAAATATTCCCGCCCTTATCTGCTATTCTAATTAAAGCAACTAGTTCATTAAATTTTTTAAGACTTTTTATTTCCTATAACACATAATTATAATAAAAATATCATACTTTGAATATTCTAGAATATTTTTAATTTATCTTATATACTCCGTAATATTTTTGCCAAAATAATATAATTTCTTTCGATCTTATGTTATACCGTTTTTGTCTATTTGGGAATATTTTTCTTTAAGTAGTAAATCTTTACAAAATATTGATCAATTTAATCTTTACAAAATATTAATCAATTTGATTCGTCTAATATTAAACTTGAAGTGAGTTAATATAGATCTTTTTAGCAAATTTTTAGTAAAATCTTGATATTGCACTATCATATAATTGACGAATTGTTAATTAAAAGTACTTATTTAGTAAAAAAAAAAAGTACATCCTTACCGGCGATGATCTTTTTAGTAAAATCTTAATATTCCACTATCATATAATTGACAAATCTTTTTAGTAATTTTTTTTAGTAAAATCTTAATATGTGAAACTAATATAGTAAGTTATTAATTTGATAATTATGTGTGTATATAAATATTAACAAAATATATAGAATTAATTTAGTTATTTTATAGACAAAATATAGTAGTTAAACAAGTATCTTGCTAGAAGTTGTTCTTTCGGTAATATATCTTAAGAATGTTTCATTTGTTGAGATTAAAGGCAAATCAAGTTCTGCACAAGGAATGAAGTTTGTATGAAAGATAGTTTAGAGGGGGGGGGGGTCAAAGCTTTTAGTACTTAATATTTTGTTTTGTTTCAAAAAATAATTAAAGTGATACTGTGTTTTTTTTTTGGAATGAAATTGATACTTTTTAGTTTTAGACGAATATAACTTTGCCTACTTTTGATTTTAGTAAATTTTTACAAAGTATTCATTATTTGATTTGTCTAATAATATAATAGTGTCTATTTAGAATTGATTTTGTTATATAATAAGGATTATGAAAATAATACACATGACAAAATTATGCATGTCGTTGATCAATGTTTATCTTTGTTTTAAAGATAATTCGATCTAGGATTTTTATTTATTTTTTACTCTATCTAGGATATAAACTTAGTAACTTACTATGCATAAAGGCAAAGAATACATTTATTATACTCCCTATTTTTTTTATAAAAACAAATGCTAAATGTATAATTTTATAATGTAAAGGTTTTCGTTAAATGGATTAGGTAACTTTCATTTATAATAACATGGTAACTTCTATTTATCTTGGAGGTAACTAGAGTACCTGATTTTAAATTTTGATCACATAAAGAAAGGAAGAGAGTACTTTATTATGTTGATTAAACCAAAAGTACACATAGGGTAATATATGAGATATATGAATGGGCAAGAATTATTCAATCTAAAAGGTTAAATGTATAGAGGCTATAAACCTTTTTATATATCTCTAAATCTTTTTTTAATTCAACATTGAATCAAAATTATGACATGTAGTACCATGATAAGGAAGTACATATTACTACCTCCGTTTTTTTTAATTGCATCACTTGGAATTGCACGGAGTTTTCGGAGAGTAATATAATATTGTGAGTAGATAAATATATTATTATAGTAAAACTAAGATGGGGACAATGAAAGAGAAAGTATATGAAAGAAGATAGATATTTTTATTGTTTTAAGTAGGGACCATGGAAGAGAGACAAATGATAAAATAATTTGAGTGGGGTTTAAAGTAAGAGAGAGAAATGATAAAATATAGTATAAAGTTACAAAAAATAGAAGTGAAGCGTTAAAAAAAATAAAATAAATAAATAAATAAATAAATAACTCATAAAAGGGAAGTGATGCAAATAATAAAACGGAGGGAGTATTATGAATGTATAATCAAATAAGTAAAAAATATCACTATTATGCATTAAGCTAAACTTTAGTTTCGATTTTGTGATATTTAATATTTAAACTTTTAAATCCATGCAATTGCACGGGTACTACAATAGTATTTTCTAAAATATAACAAGTTAAACTTTGAACTTTCACTTATAACACTTAAAGAAAAATTTGAACTTTCACATATAACACTTAAAAAAAATCGATATGTGATACCCTTATCAAAGAATTCAATTTCATAATAATAACTCCACATCAAAATTTATATAATGAAGGGTAAATCACATTTAGGATATTCCACACATTTAAAATCAATATCTGAAAATGATCCCAAGTCAAATGTGGCTATGATCCAAGTGGAGAAGGACATCCCAGTAAACTTCCCTAGTCTTGTCCCTAGAAGCCTAGCATAACTAATCCCTTAAATTCAATTGAAGATGGGAAATTCCCAGAAAATATATAGGAGTATCTTTTCTGCCACAGAGACCAGAATATGGCCATAAAAAGCAAACTGAAAAGTATCCTTTCTTTATTACTCCTAGGCATACAAAACCCTCATATGTGTACTCCATGACCTCTGCTGGACAAATCCAGTGCTTCTCCCTCACCCAAAAGATACTTTGATAATCCTCTTTTTCGTTTCAATGCATATGTCAGAAGCGAGGTTCTTAAAAGGCCACACTAGAATGTATAATTTGAGTCAATTTAGAAAAACTAAGGTCAAAAGTTCAAATTTTCAGCGGAAACCTACCCAATGAGATTAGCAACAGGAAAGTTTGAAATTCATACTTCCTTTGTTCCAGATTAGTTGGCACATTTCTTTATCACATTTGCTAACACATACGTTCAAATCACATATATCTCTAATTATCAATAAATAAAAAGTGTAACAAGATCCCACATGACTATGTTTTAAATCACAAAAGTTAGTCAAAGTTGATTTAATGAACAGTGTCAAAAGTCAGGTTGAAGATAAAACATAGGAGACAATGATACCGTACCATCATCACACTTGAACTTAACACATCGGTTAGGTTGAAAGATTCCAAGACTAAAATGACGTAATAAAAAATATATATTAAAATAAAAATTAAAAAAATTCCAAGTTCCATTCATGAGGAGGTTTACACAGATAAGGATCCCATAAAATTCCTTTGCTAGTGTAAAATGCCGAAAAAGCGGACTATGAAAACTGCAGAGGTGATAAATTAAACCAAAGAAGCTCATAAAGCTATCCCAACCAAACATCTTCAAAAAATATTAATCATACATTTGATAAAAGATGGGCAAAGAAGAAATTTGAGTAACAAATCTACCAAACTCCAACAACAAGAATGGAGGTGATGGAGCAACTGAGAATCTGCTGGAAGTGCCCAGCCCCCTACCCCCTCCTTCCCCAAAGCACCAAAAGGCTTGACTTTATTGCCCAAAATTCCAAAGCCAAGTTTGCACAGACTAACTGAACAAATGTCCTAAACCCATTTCTGTTAATTGTCAAATATGGTCAAAACTCACCAAAAGAGTCATTTCCTCAACTCCAAAACTAGAACATAATAAATTTCTCAGCAAACTCTTAATCTCCTTTGACAAACCAACAAGTAATTGTTAAGGTCAAAAGTGAGCATACATACAATAAACACAATTTGAGAGCAATATCCTTAAACTTTTATTTTATTTCATTTCATAATTGAAAAAAACACTACTGCTATCCACCAATTCAAGCTTAAAGCAACCTACAAAGCAACATGATCTGAAAAGATCATAATGTGCACATTAACACCTAGTAGCAAGTCCAAGTAAGGTCAGATTCTTTACATGTATACAGGTTTATGGGAAAGAAAAGGTGATTTCTTCACTACTCTTACGTTTTTACCCTCCACCCAATCTGCTCAAAAAACTCTCTACTAATTCTACCAAGACTTTTTAGCCATAGGAACACAAATATATAAGTACATTAAATTTAACAGTTCTACTTCATACTTCCAACTCCAAAAAGACGAAAATTGAATATTATGATATGATTTATACCTTGTCTGAAAGGAAATCAAATGCTTGATAGGAGCCTGATGACTGTCCCTGGGATGGTGAAGAATCCATTAAACCACCGGGTAAAATATTTCCATCTGTTGCTCTCCATAAAAAATCATTTGCAACACCCTGACTAGGTCTTCCACCACCATTTCCAAAACCAACCATTAAGTCTCGATCCCGAGAGTGTCCAAGTTCATCTAATTTAGAAAATTCCTGCATGTTCCCCATATATCCCTTGTTCAAACTAAAACCTGTGTCACATGCTTGCTGAATGCAAGCTTTGTCCAAGCTATACCTGGTATCACATGTTTGAGGAACACTAGCTAGGCTAAGAGAGTTTCCATAAGCCACCCTCTCTTGTTTGGACTCATCGCTTGTACTGTAAGCTCCAGTTTCATTGCATTGCATGCCATAACTTTGCTGATTTATACAGGGCTTGTTCAAGTTATATCCAGCATCACATTGCTGCTGAAGACCAGCTAGATTCAGAGTGTTTCCATGAGATATCCCCTCTCTCCTGGCTTCGTTACTTTTTCTGTATACTCCAGATTCATTATGCTGCATACCATATCTTTGCTCATTCATATGGACCTTGTTCAAATTAAACCCTGCATCTGAAGGTTGCTGAAGACCGACCAAATTAAGCAAATTATTATCAGAAGCCCTCTCCTGCTGAACAATACCCCTGGCACCACTGTATATCCCCTCCCTCTCAATTTCATTGTTATTTCTGTATACACCAGTTTCATTATGCTGAACACTATACCTTTGCTCATTCATACAGACCTTGTTCAAGTTATATCCTACATCTGTAGGTTGCTGAAGACCTACTAGATTAAGTGAATTATTGTCAGAAGCCCTCTCTTGCTGAGAAACACCCCTAGCACCTCCATAAACCCTCGTTTGATTGTCTTCAATTGTACATGTTTGCTGCCCCCACAGTGAAAAAGGGGAAGTCCCTTCAGGAACAGTCTCATTCTGCACAGAACTAAGGAATCTTGCATTCATTTCAGGGATATTGTCAAAATCAAAAATCATCTTATTAGTCCTTGAGACGTCCACCTTATCAAGTTCAGGAAGCTGTGTTGTAGTTGTAGTGGAAGGAACATCTGTCACACTATTCATGGCAACTTCACGCATGTGCTCGTTAATGGAAAGGTCCGACAGAAGACCTTTTGGAACTTGATTATGCTTATCCTCTACAAAGTTACTGAAGGCCCCTAGTAGATTAGAGACATCACTATGTCCTTGATCACTGCTAGCTATAACATTAGCACCTAAATGTCTATCATTACTTCCAGGAGTTAAAATTAGGTTGCTTGAATTCATAACTGGGTCATTTTTAGGCTCCTCACTTTTTTTATTTGACAGCTCCCTTGGGCTATTCTCAAGGCTACAAGTTTGCTCAATCTGAAAAACTCCTGTTTCTTTAGGTTCTATCATATTTATAAGGGGAACTGTGTGAGCCTCATTTGCAATATAACCACAACCATTATCTTTTAATAGAAGAGTTGCACAGCTTTCAGGTCTTTCCTGAGAAATACACCTCTCAACATCAACTGTTGCTTCATTGTCTTCCAAGCTACACATGTCGACCTCCGTCTCACTTACCATGCCAAAAAAATCTTTCCCAACATAATTCTGCATCATAGTTGTAGGTTGATCCCCTGATGGAGGACAAGAACTGTTCTCATTGGAAGCTGCCAATGGAGATTCCATAAGCTCAATCTTGTTGGTGGTAAAACCACATGTTTCCTCTTCCTTGCAAAGGACTTCTGTATATTCGTCCAAGCTTCCGGTATGCTGGACTTCATCAGCAGCCACAATGTCAAGATCAAGATGGCCACTGTTGTTGGAATTCTCCAACAACCTGTCATCATTCCCAACTTCCAAACTCTCACTAAAACAACTATGCTCGACAGTTTTAACTTCCAATGACCTATCTTCTGAGTTCTGATCACCTAATAAGTTTTCTTTATTTTCAGTATGCAGATTATTTTCAGAAGTCACACTATCCTTTTGCAAGAGGTTGTCAGTGACATCATTTCCAAGATCTACCCGTTTGCTATCTGAAAGGGTACAAGATTCAACATTTCCAACCAGTGCAAGTGAAGATTTTATTTCAGAATCTACACATTCAGCTGCAGTTATTCCGCCAAGGGTCTCGCATAAATCATTATTCTCACTATTATACACCTCCTCTGAAACAGAACAATTATCAGGCTTCATAGCAGAAAACTCAACTGCCTCCTCTACCTCCCTGCCATTATTATCAGTAGTATGGGTGATTCCATCATGTTTACCAGAAGAATCTTCAGATGATATTTTATCAATTTGAGCAGCTTCCTTATTCAGCTCAGCATGAAGAGACATATTGTTTTGGTCAGATTTATCATTTCCCAAATGTGTTTCAGCCTTGCTACCAGCTTCAGGCTTGCTATCAGATGAATTTGTATTAAGGTCACTACTGGCTAGAACATTAGAAACTGAAGCAACGGGAACGACATTCATTTCTACATCTCGTACTGTCTCAGAGGCAGTTACTGGGACTTCAGCAACAGCTACAGAAGATTTTTTTGGCTTGGTTGTCACTAGCATACCTGGTGACCCACCAATACTCTTCACATAGTTTTTCACGTGTATGCCAACATGCCCAAAATAGCTGCTCCTCTCATGGAACTCCTTGTTACAAAATTGACACTCATACTTTCCATCTTTCATCACAACATCATCTTCAACAGGTTCACCAGATTTTCGTCGCTTCCTCTTGTGACATGATAAGAGGTGGCTCAAAAGCTCATCCTTTTCACCAAAACCAGAGGAACATTTGTGGCACTTCAAAGCAGATGCTGCTTGCACCTCTCCTGGGTGGACTGTTGTCAACAAGGACAGTTGCTTTTCATTATCAGTAGTTTGCGAAGAAGAGAGCAGCTTCTGCTGATTTTCGTAAGCGTTAGATTGAGGAGACACACATAATGACGGGTACTCAGTTTTGGTCCCCAGATCTGTAGACTGTAAATATTACATCAATTCAGGCACAATGGAAAATACAAAAGAAATGGATGTGTCAAAGTACAGCAATAATGACTGACATTTTCAGAAGCAAATTTGTTGTCAGCCACTGAAGCTTCTGGGTACTGAACAGCAGTTAGCAGCTTTAAATCTTCAGGGCTAGTCAGGGAGAGCAAATAAGACGAGATTCCCTTGCAGGACACAAAATACCGTCCATTAGGACTGCATAGCATCCAGCAGACAAACTGTGTGAGTAAAGATGATGTAACAACAAAACAACATGAACAACATAATAAATACAATTTTATGACAATAGTGTTTTACAATTATTTTCCACGATTTTAAAGCTTATATCAAAGATACAAACCAGTACTCTTATCATCAGAAGCTTTAAACATGTTACAAATTTAAGCAACAAGACTATGCAAAGAAATTCCAAATCCAAGTCAAACTTATAATGAAATTCTTTTCCGATCCTTCCCACATCCCCAAAATTTCTAAAAGGTAGGTTATATTAATAAGAGAGGAGTTACTGATAGGAGAATTGGAGAAGAACAACAATACAATAAGTCCCTGTATTACTTAATTTTCAAATTAGAGTGAGAGATCTATTTCTGCAATGAAGCCAGGAATACTTGCTACATTCTTCTTTATCTTAAAACTCTCTAGTATCCTTCTTTTAAATATTACAGTAACCATTGCAAACAAAATGAGAGCTTAATATGAAATTATTTGTAGTCTAGGATTGGTCTTATGGGCTTGTCCTTGGGTTAAAATCCTATGGAACCTTGGCATATAAGCAAAAGACTACAAAAGTGAGTATGCATATCAAGAGTAAACCAATATGTCCTATAAATACCTCATACAAAGATACACTAGAATTCACTTAGCTGACAAGAAGTTAAAAAACTAACTTAACATATATGCAGGGACACAGAATAAACCAATGTAAAAAATAAAATAAAAGGAGCACTAAGGTAATAAAGGTCCTGCTGCACCACATTGAATAAAAAGAAAAAGGTAATAGAGATCAATACATTGTGCATAACTAATGAATTTTGGGCAGATAAATGAAGAAGCAGCAAAGATTATACCCCCTCCGATATTTATGTGACACTTTCCTAAAGCGGCTGTTTTTTTCAAATGTATAAATCACAAGATATAAACCAACCACCTAATCAATACATTCAAAGATCATACCACAAATCGAAATCGTTACATGTATCCAACTACTACAAAGTCTTTTCAACAATGCAAAACCAGCAGCATTCTTCTTCCTAGTAGCATCTTAATCTATACCATTATAAACCTACTTGATAAAACTCCTTAATGAATTCTAATCCACAATCTATAATACAAAAATATCGTAATTTATAGCATTAAGCCTTAATCTATAGAGAGCTACTTAATTACCTTTTTATGAGTTAATTCCATGATGAAAGTCTTACAAGACATAAATCCTCATCATCCAAGTCACCAAAGCATTCCACCCAAAATTGAAATAGAAACTCCAATCTTATCAAAAGTCAATTGCTTCTCCAATCTCAAAATAACCTAGGAATTGCGACTTTGTAACCTAGTATTGGATGAGCACTACTTTGTAACCGTATTGGATGAGCTCTACAAGTAAACTCCCCGATAGTTTCAACACAATCCTATCAAAGACCCATGCTAATCTTCTAAGGAAATTTAGTGCTATCTATCTTTACCACTCTATAAAGTACTAGTAAGAACAATAAAGCTGGGTTTCCAAGTTTAAATAATCCTTTCTTAATTGAAATAAGATTCACATCTCTATAATTGTACAATTAACTCTAATCCCATCAATTATAACTTATTCAATCAAAAACTAACAAAAAATATATTGATTGAACAATTACCATCCACTAATACCTCATTACACTTGATTGAATCTATTGTAGCTCACTGCCCTAACATTGCACAGACGCACAGTTAATCACAACTCTTGATCAATTCGAGCTTTCTCTATTCACGAACACTGGTGCATATCATTCCATAATTTGCAATGCATCCACATAATCCAAAATTCAATTCTACTTCAAATTTCTTTTCCTTTCTTAATTTCTTTTGATCAATAGAAGCAAATAAAACAGCAATTGAACCACCAACATTACAATATACAACAAGATCATACGAGTATATAATCAATCGAAAGACATCGATAGAAAGAAAGGAAAACCTTATATATCGGCGACAGAACACCCAAGCGCGACCGAGCTTCTTCTTCATAGCAATCAAAACCTTCCAACCATTAGGCAGATAATCTCCAAATTCATTAGCATCAACAATCTTCCTCTTCTTCCTTCTACTCCCCCAAACTCCATTCAAATCCCTAATAAACCCTAACAATTCATCAGGACTTTCCTTCCCTTCCGTCCGCCGCCTTATCTCCTCCCCATACGGATCCTCCTTCTTCGCCAACTCCGCCAAATTCACCACTTCTCCATTTTTATTCACCAACTCCTTTTCTCTCTCCTCCTCTAACGCCGCCTTCTCCTCCTCATCCTTCACCTCTTCCTCTACCAATGCAACCGTCGTCACTGGCGTCGCAGCCGCAGCAACACTCATCAACTCACTCTTCGCCTTCCTTCCTCGCTTCCGCTTTCTCTCTCCTCCACCTCCGCCGCCGCCGACGCCTTCCTCGCCAGCGAGAAAGGCGTCGCTATACTCAACATTAACAGGAACAAGCGCGGAGAAGTCGTCACCATTACCGACGCTATTCCCGGCGTCGTGAATTCCGCCATTGAAGAGCGACTTGAAGAGAGAGATTATACGAGAGTTGTCGGCGTCGAGAGGAGTGAAAGAAGGGCGAGGTTTGGGTGGTGTAGCGAGATTGTTACCGACGTTGCGCGGCGCAAGGCGGAGACGAGAGTAGGTTTGTTTGCGACTGCCGGCGGATTCGTTGAAGACGGAGCGGTCGATTTTGGGGATGACGACGTCGTCGCAACGGCGGAGGTCGAAGGCGTGGGCGGAGCAGAGAGAGAGTGCGGTAAGTTCGGATTGAGAGAGGAGGCGGAGATCGATGGTTGGGATTGATTCGAGGGAGAGGCGATCGGACGGTGGTGGTGGTCCGACGGTGGATGCCATGGTGGGGTGAAAAATGGTGGGGGGGAGAGAATGGTGGAGGGTTTGTGTTGGTGGGTTTGTGAGAGGGGAAGTACGGCGTTGTGGGGAGAGAGAGGAGGAGAGAGAAATTTTGGGCTTGGGCTTGTAGAGTTTTGGGCTGGGTTGAGGTGTTCTTTTAATGTTTGGACTTTAATGTTGTTTTTGGTTTGTTTGGAAATTGGAATGGTTGAATAATTTGTAGGCTGAAACTTGAAAGATAGAACTATAGAAGGACTTCCTATTTGGAGCTTGAACAATTCATTCTAAGATATACTCCCTCTGTTGTTAATAAGTAGTAATTCCTCCATTTCAGAATAATCAACACATTTGTTTTTAGGTTTTTTTTTTCACTATTTTATACATTAACCTTGACAGTTGAGTTTTAATAACGTATTAAATTTAAGGTTGATTGTGAAATGTGTCATTAGATTGATTTTAATATAAAGTTTCATAATATTAAATTTTTTATATTTTCTGCTATTATTTAATTAGGTATAATTAAGGTCGAACTAGTGTATCGGTAGATGTACAATTATTTTAGGATAAAACGAGTAGTTCAACTTGCTTGTGTTACACCGTAGTATATTCTACGGATATTTCACCAAATGCCACTGAGTAATTTAAAAATTCACCAAATGTCATTGGACTTTTCAGAATTCACCAAATGCCACTGAGTTTTTAAAAAATTCACCGAGTGCCATTAATGACTAACGGCAGTTAACTCCGTTAGTCATTAAGGCTAATTATGCCACGTGGTGTATTCTAATTGGTTGCTTATTAAATTAATTACTTAATAAAAAACTTTAAAAAAAAAACACCCACCATGACCCACCATGACCCAGCCCCAACCACCGTCTGTCACTGCCACCACCATATCTCCGCCTCCAGCCAGTCCCCACCGCGGCGCAACCCAGCCCTGAACAACCGCACCGGCAACGATGCAACCCAGCCTAGCTAACCCGCGCCAACGGCGCAACCCAGCCTAGCCAACCCACGCCGACAACGCAACCCAGCCGCGATTCACAAACTCTCTTTCTCCCTCGACAATCCCTCCCCTCCCCACTGCCGATGACCAAACTCCCCCCTCCCCACGCCGGAGAACCCAAATCAGTTCATCCCCTCTGAGCTCCACCCTTTCAACCATCACGCCGGATCCCTTAATTAAAAACCCCAAAAATCGAAATCTAGGGTTTCGACACCTTAAACCCCCAATATCGATTTCCCTTAATTCGAAGCCTCTTCCCCGCTCCGGCGAACCCAAACCAGCCCTTCCCCTCCCATCTCCACCCCCTGAACCACCTCACTTAAACCCCAAAATCAAAAACCTTAAAATTGAAATTTAGGGTTTCGATTTTGGAGATTTCAATTTTGGGGTTTTAGGGTGTCGAGGATGGTGGTTTAAGGGGGGGGAAGTGGATGGAAATGGTAGGGGTAGGGGGAAGGGTGGCCGCCGACACCAAAGAGGATGTTGGTCGCTGGCGTAGGGGCGGTGGTGCCGTGGTGCAGTGGGAAGAGCGGCTGGGGTTTTTTTTTTTTTTTTTTGTTTCTGATTTTAATTTTTTTTTATTTTTATTTTATTTATTTTTTTGAAAACTTCTGATTTTAATTTTTTTTATAAATAAAATAATAATAATAAAGTGAACCAATTAGAATACACCACGTGACATAATTATCCTTAATGACTAACGGAGTTAACTGCCGTTAGTCATTAATGGCACTCGGTGAATTTTTAAAAAACTTAGTGGCATTTGGTGAATTCTGAAAAGTCCGATGGCATTTGGTGAATTTTTAAATTACTCAGTTGCATTTGGTGAAATAGCCGTATATTCTAATATTCTACAATGCATAGAAAAAAAGTGAATAGGTTTAGCAAAAAGAAGTCAATAAAGTAAGAGAGAAAGGGTCAAAATACTGGTGAGTATAAGAAAGAGGTGGATATAAAATTATAATTTATGAAAAGTGTTTAAGGAGGTATTTTATATCATACCAAATTAAATTGTACTCTGTACGAGTAAAAAAACAATTAACCAAATCAAACCATATAAATTATCAATATACCAAGTTAAGTTTGGTCTAATGGAAAAAGAGCACCTTCCAACCATGAAATTAAAGGTTCAATTCTCACTAGTGACAATTTGAAAGGTAGGATTCCCTTACCTTCCCCAAGTAAAAGAGAAATAACAAGAAGGTGGTAGTAGACTAGCATTGGTATAAGACTATAAGGTAAGGGTCAATTTGTTCAAACTATAGGGTAGTCAATTTGTTTCAACTATATTAGTTCTGAGTTCTGACACATGCATATATATATAAGTATGCAACAACGAAAACAATTTCAAGTAATTTAAGTATATATAATATTAAGGAAAATTTGATTTTTACTACCTATTAAACACATCGAATTGAATTTTGCTACCTATCAAAACTTTAATTTTATTTTACTACCTAACATATGCCCTCTGTTTAAAAATTGCTACCAGTTAACGTTTTCTGTTACTGTTGACGTTAAGGGGGCCCACTCAACTAACTAACCTTCCTTGCCATCTTCTCTCTCCACGAATCTACCCCCTGCCACCCTAATTACTTCATTTCTCTCTCCATTGAATTCCCTCAACGCTCAAAATTAACTCCATTGAAGTTTTTTTTTTTTACCTTGAATCTTTCTCTCTCATCTGTCACCTTTCCCACCTTTCTTTATCAGATCTTATCTGCAACTTGGGGGTTGAACTAGCTTGCGTGGAAGCTTTTGTGTGATACAGCGAAGTAGGGGAGGACGCCCAGGTGGAAGGAAGCATCACCATTGTCGGAAGAATCTGCTGACAAGGCTTGATTACAAGGTACGAAACCCTAATTACTTAAAGTGGTCCAAAAATGGTGGTAATTTAGCAATTTTATATGTAATTTGGGGTATTTTTGATTAATTTATGCAATTACACTAAACCCTAGGTTAGTGCGAATTTGATTAATTTATGAAATTACACTAAATTAAAATTGATGCAATTCTCCTTTTTTAATTATTGGAATTGTTTATGTGCTGCTTTATGAATTATATAGTTTTTGATTTGTTTATTTCTAACTTACTGTAGATTAAACACATGACTACTGTTGATGATATTGTGTTTGATGTGGTTGATATAAAGCTTAGAATACATGGGGGTTTTGTGTTTAAAAATCGCAGTGGAGTCTCGTACCAAGTGTATAAGGCAGGGTTCACTTATTGGAGAAGGGATGTCCCTAGAAAATGGTTAACAGTAAGGTACTTAAGGTATTTATGTGCTGAAGGGTTTAGGGACATGAGATATGTTGTACCTAACATCTATGTATTGTGGTTCAAAGAGAAAGGTAAGACTTGGATGACTGGTAAAAGAAAGATAGAAACTGATGTGGATGTACAAGGGTTAAAAGAATCTGAGCATAGGGATGGGTATTTAGAGGTCTATTGCACAGTGTCTGATGACCCTCCCCCTAGTCAGGATCCCCAAAGCACTTTTGTTGAAGACAATAACCCAACCTCAAACCCCACTTCTAGCCAGCTGCATTCCACTTCAAACCCCATTTCCCAGTCATCTACATTTGTGCAAGGCCACACTGCAAATACATGTAACCCAACCCAAACAAAGCCCACCTCAAAGCAAATACAAAAGAAGGCAACTGTAGTGAAAAGTAGCTCACCTGAAAGCCAAAAAAACTCAAATACACATGCTGAACTTGGACTGAGAAGGAGTCCAAGACTGTCTGTAATACCTGAAACAAAAGAGATAGTGAAAGAGAAGGTTGTGAGGAGAAGCCCTAGATTTTCTAGATCTGTTGATAAGGGGAAGGGGAAGGTAACAGAAGAAGATGGCAGTTCTGGTGTGAGTCTTGGTAAAGGGACAAGGAAAGGTAAAGGGAGGGTAAGTAAAACAAGGAGGGCTCTGAATTTGGATGATGAGGATGAGGATGCTTCAGGGTCTGGTTCATCCAGCTTAGATGAGTCTGATCTAGATATAGGCTGGTTTCCTGGAGAAGAAGAGGCATATAGTGATGATGATGAGGTTAACAGACAAGGTTCTCATACTATTTTAGGTGAAGTAAATAGGAGTTTGCAGATTGTGAAATATGGGGATGAAGGGACAAAGGATTTAGCTGTGTAAAGGGAGGAGAAACTGAAGCAACTAGTTAAGGATTTCTGTTGTAAGGAACCAGATTTGAAGGATGAGGGGTCTGAGTCAGATGAGCTTAGAAGCTTGAATGGGTCAGATGAAGATGAGGATCAAAGTCCATGGTTTCATGAAGAAACTGGTTTCAAAAAACCAGTTGTGCTTGTGAACAAGCTGCAGTTCAGTAACAGTAGGGTACTTAGGAAAGCCTTGAGGACACATGCAATAGAGAACAGATATGAGTATTACTACCTGCATAATGGGGGTGACGGGGTAACAACATATTGCAAAAAAAGGTGTAATTGTGAGTGGAATGCCAAGAGAAGCAATCTTCCAGGGAATTGCAAGTGTCGTGAGGAGGTGAAAAGGTGCCCCTTTAAGGTGATAGCTAGAAGACTGCATAACAGCAGTGCTTGGCAAATCAAGGAATTGATTCTGAAGCATAGGTGTATGAGGAGTAAGATGAACTCCAAGGTAAATGCTGAGTACATTGTTGAAAGGTATGTTGAGGAATGGAGGCACAATCCTAGCTGGAAAATCAAATCTTTACAGGCTAGGGTGCTTAGTGACTTAGGCATTAACATCACTTATTCAAAGGGGTGGCTTGCTAGGGATAGAGCTAAGCTGAAGATTTATGGGTCAGCTGTAGAGCAATATGCCAGAGTATATGATTATGGAAAGGCTGTAATCAAGTACAACCCTGCTTCTGGGGTGAACATAGTTGTTGATGGTGATCACAGCAGCCCTGAGAGACCATTGTTTTTGAGGATGTACATTTGTCTTCAGCCACTAAGAAGTGGATTTATTAAAGGTTGCAGACCTCTGATAGGAGTTGATGGCTACCATCTGAAGGGAGCATACCCAGGTCAAATTCTAGTGGCAGTGGGCAAAGATGGAAATAACAACATCTACCCATTGGCATGGGCTACAATTGAAGTGGAGAATAAAGAGACTTGGTGTTGGTTCTTACAGTGCCTGAAAAAGGACCTTGGTGATGTATGTGAAGGTGGTGGTTGGACATTCATGTCTGACAGACAAAAGGTGATTGCTAACTACAATATTTCCTTTTTTTTATTTGAATTCTAACTATGTTTAATCTAATAAGTGTAAGTGGTTTATTGGAAAACAGGGCCTACTTGAAGCATTTGAGTTGGCAGTACCTTTAGCTGAGAAGAGGTACTGTGTGAGGCATATCTGGGCCAACTTTAAGCTTCAATTCACAGGCTCAACCTTCAAAGAGTTGTTCTGGAGTGCAGCAAGGGCTACCA